TGAACCGGTATGAAACATTTTTAAGTTCGTCAGTCATATTGTTGAAAAATATTTTAACGCCTTCGTGTAACTGAAATAAAATCGTATCGGCAGCAAAAATTATAGTCATTAAATTAGAAGTTTTGTAAAGATCATTTAAATATATTAAAAATAAGAGTGGCACAAGTATAGATTCATGGAAAAACGCCACATGCTGTATTTGTTAAAAATATCAAAGAAGATTACTTGTTATAAAAAAATTGTTTACGGTTACTTAGATAATTTGTAAACCACTGTAAGATTTTATTTCTTATATTATAGCTGCCCAGCTATAATATAAGAATATAGCTGCCCAATAAAATATGGTGATTAACAGTGTCAAAAATTTTTGGCAAGTCAATAAATATGCCTAGAGTAAGTTGAGAATTCGTAAAAGAGAGAATTTTTAAAAGAGTTATACATGCTTTAAAAGTTTTTAAGAGGATATTTTTAATCACATTAAAAGAGTCGATAATTATGTTCGCAGTTATATTTCAAATTCACTATGTGTTAGATTTGAAAACTTTAGAGTTGTATTTGTTAAAGAAATTAACTCATCAACGGAGTTAATATCTACATAAGGAACTTTATTTGATAGACTTTGACCTATTGTTGAAAAATACTTGTTAAATTTGGTGGTAATTTCATCAGAATCTTTACTATTTTGTTTTTAATTTTTATTGCAACCGGCAAAGAATTTGTGCATGTCTTATTTTTACCAGTAATTTCCTTAATTATTTGCTAAACTCATTTTGAATTATATTTATGCTACATAAGCAAGTCCGAGTATTAAATTTTTTTGCCTTTTTTGCAAAGTTTTTTAAATAAATTTTTATAAACTGTGTAAGTGTTTTTAAGCATTTCTGATTTAGTTTTTAGATATGTCACATAGAGTTTTTGATTTTTTTTTGAGGAATTTTTAACTCGTTTAGTTATTCAACAATAAAAATTGTAGATGAGGTTTATACCGTTATTGAATTTTATATAGCTCTAGTCTTGATTCAAAATTTGCTCTTTAAATAAACTTAGGTTAGTGTTGTTATAAACATGTTTTTTAATTGTTACCTCTCCATGCATGTTTGTTTTGCGGTTAGCGCAATCAATCTCTGTTAAACTTATTTGTTGCAATTATCAAGAAAATATTAACTAGGTAACATGAGAAAAAAGTAATATTTTAAGTTATGCCTGGAGTAACAACATTATTTTAGACTCATATAATGACCACCTAAATGCTGGTTTTATTAACCTGAACGTCACAACTGGTAGTTTTGAAAACGAGCTAATCCAAATTTACAAAATCATTATCAATACTGCATTTGCAGCTCATAGCAAATACCTCAACCAGAAAAAAAACAATATGTTTATTCCAAAACCTGGTGGACTACTGATTTAAACCGGAAAAAAAAGGTTTTTTGTATCATTTTCAAAAAATGCAGAAATACCGGGTTTCCGAAATGTTAAAACTATGACTTATAACATGTATAAAATAGCTCAAAAAAACTTACAAAAAGCCGTTAAGTTAGCTCAAAACAATAAACTGTACAAGCAATACGTTGTAATCGAAAAACTTAAAAATATCAAACCAAAAAACTTTTTAAATGCATTTAGAAGTATAAAAATGTCACGATTATTTACAATAAACAATAAAAAGGATAACGAAAATATCACCACAGATTTTGCAAATATGTTTTAAAACATCAAATGAATTTTATCGTAAACAAAGAGCAACACAAGGTTCAATTTTATCCCCGCACTTTTGTAATATTAATACCCAGTACCTTCTCAAAACCATTAAAAAAAAAAGTTATATAGGTACGTCTATATATGATAATTTTTCTGGTGTGGTAGCGTATGCTGATAATATTCTACTTTTGAGCATAACTTTATCTGGTCTGGAAAAAGTAATCAAAATTTGTAATGTATACTGCAATTCAAATTGCATAAAACTAAACCCTAATAAAATAGAGTTCCTCGTGACAGATAGAAGTCAGTTACAAAGTTGCTCAATACCTCTCGATGGTAATCAAATAAATTTACAAAAAAGATTAAAACACTTTGGGTTTACATGAGATACAGAGCACTCTACATTTGCCTCACTTGATCGGATAAACATTGCTGAAAAAATATCTAATTTCAGGACAGCTGCCCAAACTCTTATTCAATTTGGAATCCGTTTTGCTAATCCAAAATCCATGAAAAAGTTCTATCAAACCTTCTTAGTACCAACATTTAATTACGGTCTGGAACTTTAAAAAAGCCAATGACATAACAATAAAAACCTTGACAGAATCGGAAGAAACGCATTAAAATCGTTTTTCAACTTTTCAAAACATTGCTAAAATTGTTAACAACCGTTATTTAATATTCACTAAAATAAACTAAACTTATTTATTCGTCTTTTCGATAACAAATCAACAAATCGTATTATTCTATCTCAGTTTAAAAATCCAACAATAAAACAAAGCTTTTCGTAAAAAAATAGAATACATTTTGTGGTGGTGGGGGATAATATCCCAAAAAATATTGAGAAAAAATTGAATTATTGATTAGATTGGTGGAACATAAAAGAACAGAGAAACATTTTCAAGCAAACTCTAGAAGAAAACGTTTCAAAATGATTTCTTTTCTTTCTTTCAAAGTTTAAACAATTTTTTTTTTTTGTACTTTTATCTTGTAAAAACACTTATCTAACTTTTTCTTTGACCATTTGTTTCACCATCAGCAGGTTCATCAGAAAGTTTCCTGATCAGGAATTAAAGTAGGGGGAATACAGGGAAATGCCGTTCCTCCTTAGCCGACAAATTAGGAAATTTTTCCGCTTCGCTCAATATTTCTTTGCAACCATCCCACCACGTTTTTGATTTTTTTATTTACAATTAGATTGTCTATAAATTATGCAACGCCTAATTTATCTCTTTAAAATAATAGATCATTTTATGTTCATTTCAGTGGCGTAAGCCGTGCTTTTGGATTTCTTTCGCGCCGTTTAACTTCTGTTTTTGATAAGTGAAGCTTTTTTGATTTCTCGCATTTGTTTCCAACATGATCATCACCCAAACAAAGATAACATAGAAAATAAAACTTTGCTTGTTCCCATCTTTTACTAACTGACATGAATTTAAACTTTTTTCATTCTCAAACTGCATGTTTACCATCATAAATTTTGTACGTTTTTGTTACATCGTCTTTAAACTTTTTTCTAAAGTATGTTCTTTGTTTTTCTTTAAAGATCTTAAAGGGTTTTTTTTAATTATACTTTGTATCTTTCAAACTGCATAATATTTCTTGGGCAACTATATAAAACTCCGTTTTTGCATTAACCCATTCTCGCAACAATTCCATCCCAGAATTTTTTGCTTTTCAAATAACCATCGTAAAACTACACTTAGCATTGTCTTTGGTAGCTTCCTCATATGTTTAATGTATAGTGAGCCATCTACCAACTAATCAAATTTTTCCAATTTTTTTAGTTTATGACTGCAATGTTCAATATATCTGCAAGGTTTTCAAGATCATTTGGTTTGTTTGGTTTAACTGGACTAAAGTTTTCCACTCTCTTCAAATACAAGAAAATATGTTCTTTTTCTCCCCAATAATTCCTTTTGAGTTGATCTTTTGCAGCATTGTACGCAGGTTTTGAATAACCAAAACTTTCGATAACTTTTGAAGCTTCTCTTGATAAGTACTGGCGTAGTTGCAAGAGTTTATATTTTGGTGTAGGTGGAGCGTTACCAAAACATGCTTTGAACGTTTTTCGTTTTGCATTTTATTTTCAAAGAAGACAGTTATTGACATTCTGGATAAGTGCTTCGATAAGGCTCATCCAATTTCTATTTTCGTACTTAAGTTGCTATTTTTTGGTTGAAAGTCTATACCTTTTTCAAGGTACTCCGGTATTTTAGATGGTTTACAACGCCAACCAGTTACAACAGGGCGTGTTTGATAGTCCTTTTTCACATCAACAATTTCAGCATGCCGTTTAACTTGTGCATCCAGTTGGTCGTTTTTCAATCCATTGTTTATTAATTTACAACGCATTGACTTCATTTCTACTTTTTACATACCATGTTGTTCATTACCAACCATATTTATGCTATTTTTATTTTTCATTTTTTTGGCAGTCCTTTAAGGTTCACGTTTACGTTCGCCACCATCCCCTTTTGTGACAATGCTTGAAACATCATCTTTTCGAGAGTAAAGATATTTGTGCGTCATTTCTTCTGCTTTCATGTAGGCAAACTCTTTTACTTCAATTTCTTTTGTGACCTTGGTCGCCATTTCAAATTCTTTGTTTTTCCAATATTCAACTGAAAGGTCATACATTGCCTTTATTGCAACCAATTGTGCCACATCAAGCTTTTCCCAACATTCGCAAACATCGTTTCTGCTCGAAGGTTTGGAATAAAGTAGTTCCATTATAAGCTTACTGTGGCACAATTGGTTGTAATAAAGGCAATGCATGACCTTTCAGTTGAATATTGGAAAAACAAAGAATTTGAAATGGCGACCAAGGTCACAAAAGAAATTGAAGTAATAGAGTTTGCCTACATGAAAGCAGAAGAAATGACGCACAAATATCTTTACTCTCGAAAAGATGATGTTTCGAGCATTGTCACAATAGGGGATGGTGGCGAACGTAAACGTGAACCTTAATGGACTGCTAAAAAATGAAAAATAAAAATAGCATAAATATGGTTGGTAATGAACAACATGGTATGTAAAAAGTAGAAATGAAGTCAATGCGTTGTAAATTAATAAACAATGGATTGAAAATTTATTTTATAAATTATATGCAAAATTTCTGAACCGATAGAAACCACTCACAGAAAACTTTCGATATTGATTGGTTAATTAAAATTTTATTGTTGTTTCCGCTTACTACGACTGTAAGCGTTAAAACACGCGCAAACTGGCAATCGGAAGATTTTTGAACAAAAATTAACGCTGCGATATTCTATATCAGTTATTATTCTTATTATAATTAAAAAGAAATTCCCTTATAATTTTCTAATTTCATTATAAGAAAATATACCTTTTGATTTATAGCACCAAGGTCCATTTGGATTGGAAGGGTCCCAACAACATGCATTTTCAATGCATGAAGCCTGAGTGGTTGAAGCATCTCCACACACTACGCGCGCACTATATTGAATGTTCGAACAACTCACTAAAGATGTTTTCATCACAAATACAATTATGTTTTTTTCGGAAATAAAACTAACTTTATGATAAATTTATAAAATACAAACGTGCTACACAAATAATACAAGCTTACCTGAACAAACGCCGCAACTTCTGTTACATAATGCTCTTACTTCCGAAACATATATACATTGTCCAATAATATAAGGACAAAAAGAAGTTTTATCGGCACAATCTAAATAATATTTCAACTCATTTTAATCTAAACTTTAATATAAATTTTAAATTATCAACTTTATAAACTATAAGTCATAATAAAAACGATATTTAATGTTTAAGGTATAATCACTTTTATGTTTCTTTTGTTACCTAAATTTATTATTGTTACTAATTATATTAATTATTACTTAAATTTTATAAATTTTACTAAATCAAGGTTCATATGAATCTTTAGTAAAATTGAAGCAAAAAACAATATGATCACAACGTTTTTTGAAATTGTGTAAACTAAATTGTTAACAAATTTTAAGAGTTTCATGATGTATGATTTTGATTTTAACTCTTGGCTAAACACAATTCACAAAATTAAGATTTTTTTCTCTAATTAGCCACGGGAATCACAACTACTATCATAAAACAAACTGTTTAAAGTATTTTAATTTATTGAATTATTTATCATATATATTTGTGTTTATTTATTTTTCTATTTGATTTAAAAGTGATTCTTTTCTTCGGAATTTTAGGAAGATTTTATGTTTCGTATTAACTCTTTTCTTTTTTTAATGTTAAAAAACAACAACACAAAAATGAAAGTGTTTTGTTTTATAGTAAACCCGTTAATTAATTATTATTAATCAATAAATATTAAAGTTGATTATTTTCCATGTCGTAATTTTATAATTAGAAATGTTTTCAAAAAACGTTAATGCACGATATTATACTTGAAAAATCGAATGGAAAAATAAGTTCGATAGCCGTATATTTTAGATTTAGAGATAGCGACAGTGCGACTTGTTGACAACAACTTATCGTAACATTGTAGCTAATGATAGCTTAAATACACAGTCAACGTTAAAAAATAGCATTAAATTAAAAGGTATTGTTGATACAAAGAAAAATTTTGCTGCTCGGTCAGTATAGCTTAAGCGTTAATATACGTTCGCAATTTTATTATTTGCTATAAAGTTTATTGAAAATAAATGTTAACTAAGAATGTTTAATGTTCTATATATAGCTTACTTTCAGTTTATTTAGGCTAATAATTTTATTGTTAATGTAAAGTTTATTTCCAAAGAAACCTTTATTTTTACTTATTTTTTTTTGCTATATCTTTTGATAAAACCGATTATCTGCACAATAATTTATTATAGAAAAAAGTTTCTTTAAAAAATAATATTTATTTATTATAAGCATCGTTTTATTGTTATTATCTTTATATTTATTTTATTACATCCTTTTTAGAATATATTCTTAATTTTAATGTAAAAACATCAAACATTAAAAATCTTTGATGTTTTTTTGCATTAAAAAAAAGGCCAAAAAAAACACATCATAAAGTGAATAGAAAAAAAGTTATGAAACTTTGAAGTTTTAAAAAGGACAATTTTTCTAATGAAATAGCCCAACGCCTACCAGTGGATAGAAATGCATAGAAATTTTTAATTTTTGTTTTAAGAGAATGCAAATCAGGTCTATAGAATACTTTTTTTTTTAATTTGGCTTTTTTATTTATTGTTTTAATTAACTTTTTTATATTTTTATATTGCTTATCTAATAAATTAGCGGACATAGTAGTAAAAACTACAAAGTCAGCCATATAAGCAGAAGAATCTTTTTAGAGTGTAAGAATCCTATTCTATTTAGTCAGCAGAAAAAAAGTCATAGGTTATATCATTCAATGGGATTCAAAAATTTATTCAAAAGTAGAAAAAAAAGACGCGTTAAACACTCTGCTTTAAATATAAAAACAAAGACATTTAAATTTAACAAAGTTTTAAAATGTTTTAAACAATATAAAGTTCTGATTCATATAGTGATCCAAAAATGCTTTGTCTGTATGCTAATTTAGTTTGGTCATAATTTAGTTTGGCCATAAATTAGTTTGGTGATAAATTAGCTCAGTCATAAAGTAGCTTGGTCATAAATTGTACTGTAGATATTATGTTATACTTTTTATGTTTTCAAAATATCTTTAAAAATAAAAAAATAAAGTTATTTTAATATCGTTTAATTATATAACTTAAGTGTCTCTTTTTTTTTACTTCATGTTTAAAATTTAGATAAAAAAAAATCTCCTCTTTTACATAATTTTAGATTCTTCTTTAAATTTAAAAACTCGTTCTAAAAATGTTTTACTCCTTTTTAATCTTTTTTAAAAAGGAGCTTAAAGTTTAAATCTTATGTCAAAAAAATGTATAAAACTCAAGTAAAAAATTCAAAACAAAAAAATATATGTGCTTTATTTAATAAGACTAGTTACAAAGTTTAAAAAATAAAAACAATTTTCAGTTGTAATATTGAAATCTATAACTACACATACATATCAGAGGGAAACACAATTTTAACTTTAAACTGTTAAAAATTAAATTATTGTTAAAAATCGCAAAACAATGCAGAACATATGTTTGAGAATGTCTACTGTTTAAAAAAATGTTATCAGTTTATTTTAAATAATTTTAAATAAAGAAACCACTGTTTACATTGTCAGTTATGAAAAGTAAGCTATTGCTAAATTTATATTATGATACCAATATCTGATGTTGCAGCTAAATCCATTACCATAAAACATATTGCTATAATTGTGAAGAATAATATTATTGAAAACTTTGATTTTAATTAAATATCATGGTTTTGACTACACAATTTTTGCTTCACAATAATAAAAATATCGTTGCTGTGTGCACTGTATGTACACCTTTGCTATATAGTTATATATATATAATTATTTTTGGTATATATACATTCTGTTATTGATATTGGTTCTCTTTTTTTTCAATTCATAATAAGATATCTATTGTTTGTTGTTTGTGTGGAGTATACCAAATGAACTGCTTTTCCACACCCCCACACCTGTAGCAGCTAACTAAATAAACTAAGCAAAGATTGAAACTAGAAATCTAGTTTGGCCTCTTTCTAATAAAACAAAATCCCCCGCTAAAAAGCAAACATGAGCTACTGAAAAAATTAGTTAACAACAATCAAAGCAATTTAGTTACATTAAGTTGATATTTTAATAAGCTAAACAACGTAATATATTAAAAAGCATGTTACTATAATTAATTTAATTAGTTCTATGACACGATTAAAAACAATTAATACAAATATATTGGAGTAAAACAGAATGAAATAGATATAAATAGAATAAATATGAAAAAGATATAACAATGTTCATTTTTTTGCTTTTAATTAATTATTGAGTAAACTTTTTTTAGAAATATTTTTTTCTGGAAAACTTTTTTCTTAATGAGGTTATATAAAATTTAAATAAAAACTACAATTTTTGTTTGATAAATTGTTAAAAATTAGGCCACGCAATAACTTTTTTCTTCCTTTAAAAAATAGAGATACAAGTCTTGAAAGTAAAATTCGCTATTAATGATCTTAAAACGTAAAAAAGTTTGGTTTTTTGAATGAAGGTTAACAGATTGTTTCTGTTTATTGCCAAATGAGAAATTAAGTTTCCTAGTGACTTTAACGAAATTCAAGTCAATGGCAAAAATTGCCTTAAACCTTTAAAAAAAGCCTTAACAAATCGAAATAGCAAATGCTACAAGTGTAAAAACTCAAAATACAAAAGGCGATCAACCAAGTTTTTCTAAGCTCGGTTTTTTGCTTTAATAAAACCAAGTTCTAATAAAACTCGGCTTTCCGCTTAGCTTTTAGTGTATGAGGAAGCGCCGCAAAAGTGACAACTCCAAGAACCTTCAGACAACCCCTAGAATCTCTTAACAACTCTATTTAGTTTAACAGTTTTTATGGAATTTTAATGAAATGTTCTAAATAATAATAAAGAACAACAGCAAACAACAACAACAAAAAAATTTTGCCTACACACGTTTAAATATTTGTCTAAACATGAATGGAAAAATAAACAATTTTATTCAATTCATTCATTCACACATTAAAAAGTACTAATACTTTAAAATACTCTTTTTGATATATATATATATATATATATATATATATATATATATATATATATATATATATATATATATATATATATATATATATATATATATATATATATATATATATATATATATATATATATATATATATATATATATATATATATATATATATATATATATATAAGTATATATACTTCTTTTTAACTGTTCTTTCTTTCTGTTAATTCTTTCAATATTCCAACAATTAATGACACATCCTTAATCAAGTATTTAGTATCTTTTAGTGGTATAACTGTCTTATTTTTTTTTTTTTTAATTTATTCAGAAATCGATAATATTTAAAATTATTTTTGTTTGCGAAGAATAAAATGTTTATTAAATATTGATGAAGAGTTGCAGCACAAGGCACCTCTATGCTGACAAATATTGGACACACGATGTGTCTATGCTTATACTTATAACATGGACGTTCAGATGAGCTTCTATAACCTGTTTAATGGCTGAGTTGGTAAAATCTCATGATCCGTGAACACATCTAGTCCATTGAATACAAGCAGAAATTTCTTTTGAAGGATTTTAATTAAACTTTAATTAAAAAGAAAGGACCTTTAATTATTTGGCATTTCAAAGAAAAATATCCTTTTCTGTTTAGATACAATTCTGCATTAGGTCTTCTTGGGACACCTAAATAACAAAAAAAAAAAAAAAAAAAAAAAATACTTTTAGTGCGTCGAATCGGCTTTTGAATGCGTCGATTGAAAAAAAGTCAATAACGCTTGACGGTAAAGCATTCCATGCGTTGACTAAATGGTTTGAGAAGAGTTTTTCTCTTTTGAAATAATTCTTGACTAATGGCTTAATAAGTCGAAGGTTATACTAGGAAAGCGTTTGCGCGTAGACTTGAGGCGCAACAAATTCGATTTTCTCAACGCCATTCGCAATCTTATATTGCTGAATTAAATCATTTCTAACTCGTCTATCTTAAGGTTTGGTTCGGCCAAACAAGCTTGATGTTTGTGATCAGCTTTGTCGCTTTTGAATGCTTTCGAAAGTTTTAATGTCTCCCTTCAGATGTGGCAACCACAATTGGTTGGCGAATTCAAGTTATCGTTTAGCATAAAATTTGTAAAGGACCTTTCAAAGTATGAGACCTCTGCTTTAAAAAGATTTCTTAAGCCAACCAAGTACCTGGTTTGCTCTTGCAGCTGCTGCTTTTACTTGGTGCTCAACTTTCAAGTCTTTTGAAACAAGAATACCTAAGCCTCGTTCGACTGAAGTCATACCGAGCTCTTGACATATTCCCATAAGACATTTATCAAAGTTGAAGAGCATTAGTCAGTTTTTGGACTATTCTACTGTTTTGTCAATGTCTAGCTGGAGACGAGTTTTTTCCTCCTCTTTTTTGTTGACACCTAATATTTTCCTATCTTGATGTGGTGAGCTATGTTGTCCGGTAGGTCATTTATGTAGAGGATGAAGAGCAACGGTCTTCGCATCGATCCCTAAGGCACTCCACTGATTACCTCTTTCCACTCAACTTCAGCTTTGGCAACAATAAATCTTTGCATTTGGTTAGCCAACATATTTGAAATCCACTCTTAGTTTATGCAGACGTCTTTTGTGCGGCACTTTTTCAAAGGCTTGTAATGTACAGCGTCCGTCAGAACGTCGTAAGCTTCTAATAGATTAGACACACAGCCCAACTTGATAAAAACCGTGTTGAGCTTTTATGAATAGACCATTCACATCGGACATTTGTTTTTAAAAGTTACGTTCTAAATGTATTTTAATGTCTTTTAAACGTCTTCTAAACATTCTTACACAAAGAACGTTTAAAAGACGTTTAAAAAACGTTTAGAAGACATTTAGAACGTAACTTTTAAAAACAAATGCCCAAAGGGTTGTTATAGCAGTGCTTCATGATTCATTCATGAATGAATATCTCCATTATATTGCATGGTACTGATGTTAGTGATACCGGTCTGTAGCTTAAGCGTTTACTTCTGCTACCGGTCTATTGTTTTTATACCGGTTTCGTTAACATATTTTTTAACTTTTAAAGAACTCAGTTTAAATTTTATTAAATAGGACCAATGGAATTAATTTTTTGATGTTATAATATTTTTACAAGTAAATATTTTCAACTTTGTAGTGGTTACTAAGGTGTTCCCAGAAGTTCTCACAACCTTATCGCAGAGCACCGCGGAAGAGCATTAAACTAGGAAGTTTAAGCCTTTTTCCTTACCAATGTCGCTAATTGGGCTAGCGCCAGTTTTAAACCTCGGACCTCTTAGTTCCCAATATTTGTAGAAGTTATTTTTCTTATGTTTAGGGATTAAAAAATCGTCCGATGACCATTTATCTGTAATTTCCTGTTGTTTGAGGTGTTTCAGGTGTTTTAGGTAGATCAAGAAATGTTTAAACCTATAATACATGTTAGTTTTGTATAGCATTACTACATTTAAATCTTGATTAACAAGTTTCAGTAGAAGGCTGTCCAATCTTTTTTAAGAGATTTACTTCAAATTTTAATTAATATATATTTATGGTTAACATTATGATTGTTTTTAATAAAAGTTATTTACATTAGCGGAAATTATTATTTTAAATTGCTATTTTTGTTTTAGCTGACATATAGTGTTTTTAAATAAATGATAGTAGCCATATGGATACTTTGAATAACTATGTATGTATGTATGTATGTATGTATGTATGTATGTATGTATGTATGTATGTATGTATGTATGTATGTATGTATGTATGTATGTATGTATGTATGTATGTATGTAAGTACGTGTGTGTGTATGTATGTATGTATGTATGTATGTATGTATGTATGTATGTATGTATGTATGTATGTATGTATGTATGTATGTATGTATGTATGTATGTATATATGTATGTATGCAGGGTCGTGCATACATACATATATACATACTGGGGGGAGGTGCAATCGTCAAATTAACCGACAAAAATTTTTCTTATTTTGAAAAAAGTATTTTTTTGGAAAAATTTTTAAAATCATAATTGCATTCTTAATTTACTACCTGTAACACGTTAAAAGAAATAAAATAGATTTTTCCTCAAAGATTATATAAATTTTTCATTGCAAATAAAATTTACAGATTTTTAAAAGCATATACAAACAACAACAAATTTAACGCATAAAACGCAACACAGCATAATCAATTACTCAATTTGAATACGTCTTTGTGTTGTTATGGACCACTTTTTTACCAAAATGTCAAGATCTATATTGTCCACTAAATCTTTTTCTGACGCTAACAAAATTAATAATTCTAATCTTGCATCTGACATAGTAGAACGCAAAATATTTTTAACAATTTTTAATTTGCTAAATGTTCTTTCATCGCTTGCAACAGTTTCTGGTGCTGAAGCCATTAGCTTGAAAGCTTTGAAATCTCCTTGGAATATTTTTTGTTTTTGTCACAACAATTTTAATTTTTCATTTTTGTTGGAGCATCAGATTTAATAAATGTGTTCATAAAAATTTCTAACTCTGCATGAAATAAATGAGCATCTGTATTTACTCCATTATTTGGCATTAAAAGGCACAGTTTTTCGACATTTTTTATTGTGAAGATTTTTGTTGACTGCTGAAGAAGATAAAATGGTTTAATGCTCAACCATGAAGCCAGTAAACTTTCATTCATTTTATTAATAAGACAGTCTAACACGCAATTAAGTTGTTGGGTGTAGTATTTATAGATGTTTCTAGAACATAGCGTATCAGGATTGTCATCATAAAGTTTTGGAGTTGCTCTTCGTCTATGACGATCTTCGTGTAATTTTTACGCACCGATTTCATACTTGCTACATATTTTAATTGCTGCATAAAGTTCAAGAGATTGTATTGTAGACAATACAATCATTTTAGCATCTAAAATGTTCAACTCAACTTTCTGCAACTTATTAGTTAGAATCTTTGTTTTTGCAATGGCTCCTTTGATAAGCATAAGCATAATGATAAAGTCTAGATTCACGATTTTTTTAAGTATTGCTACAGCTCGATCCTTTGTTTTCTTATCAAACAAATCGGACTGACTTATTTCATAAAAACATTCAACAATAGATTCCATACTTATCCAAAATGCTTGAATGGATTCTGAACGCGCTCACCATCTAGTTTTTGATAGATTGCGAAGTTTCAATGATTTTTCAATAGACTCAAGTTTAGAACTAAGTAAGCTGTATTGTTTAGTATTTGAAGAAATAAATGCGTAGCACACTTCATAAACTTCAAAGAAATTTGAAGCCATTATGTTACTTTTAACCGCGTGTTCAACAAAGGTATTAGTTCGATGAGCTTGACATGGAATATAAGGTACAACTCAATTTAGCTTTTCTGAAATTATTGCATAAACTCCTTTAAAGATGCTGGACATAGAGCTGGCGTAATCGTATCCTTGAAACACAACGCTATTGACATCAAGTTGACGGTTATTGATTGTCGATATTATGAAATCTGCAATTCCATCACCTGTTTTGTCAGCTACCTCGCATATCTGCACAATTCTTTCTTTAATATTACAGTTATTATCCACATACCTAATAGCAATTGCTAACTTATCACTGTGTGACACATCAGGAGTTGCATCGACCATAATTGAAAACATTGATGCTTGGTTAGCTTCGGAAACAATATTGCTTTGAACATCTTGTCCAAGCAAATGAATGAAGTCATTTTGGGATTTAGCACTCATATATGTCACGTGATATTTTCTAAGTTTTATGTTGCTCAACCATGGTTTAAGTACCAAATTAGTCTCGACATAAAATACATAAAATATGTTTTCATCCCAATCATTTCCACGAAACGCGATACCTTGCCAACCCAATGTTTGAGCCAAATCAATAAGAACTTTTATAACACACTTGTTAGACTCCAATTATTCTTTTTCACTTATAACAATTTGTCTTTGTTTCTTGTCCAAGAGGAGATTAATATGTTGAGCACTATTACAATAATTGCAATAGTCTAATAATGAAGCTTTATGAGATTTTGATGAAAAATATTCTGATAGTTTTCCCCTTTTACCTTTCTTTCCTCGACTCTTCATTTCATGCCACGTGCGGATACCGTTTTCAACCAAATCAACTTCACTATTCTCTCTACCTGGTCCATTTGAAAAGAGATAGCATGTGTAGCAGAATGCACTATCTTTAAGTAAGCTGTACTCTAGGTGAGAATATTCTTTGAACCACAATGATGAAAAATGATTTTGCTTCCTTTTGTCAATATCTTTATTGATAGGAAAGTTATTAAGTTTTTTTGATGTGTTACGAGCTCAATTAGATTGTTTCTATGATTATCATTTTCAATTCTTGAACGCTGGCCAGGATTATGCAAAAGAAAGAACTTTTTTGTAGTTAGTGTTTCAATATTATCATACTTTCTTTTGTTTAGAATGTTTTTAAGAGCTTGGTCATTGGCGTCCAGTACATTCTGTGCTGAAATTTTTACCTCAGAAGCAAGCTCTGTCATTTCAATGAGAAGTTTTTCCAAATGTAAATTGTCTGTATTTTTCACTTCATCTAGTTTTAATTTGCACTAACTTAAAAGTTTACACAGCTTGCAAACTTACCCACTGAATTTGAAAACGTAGTTTCTTTTTCCAATAAATTAACATCACTCGGTTGGCATTCTACTAACAGAGTTTGATCACAGAAATTCAAAATTTCAGGCACTGCTAGTATTTTATCATTAGTAATATCAATGTTTTTACTCTCATTTATTATCTCGCATTCAATTTCAAATGATTCATTTTCAATTGCTTTAGAGATTTTTGTCAGATTTTAATGGATACTCATTTCCACTTCATTTGTATTGTTGCTTGGGCAAAGTTCTTGGGCATTGAAATTAATTTTAGACAAACTTATTTTGCTGCAAAATTGGGAATTTACTGTCGAGTTGGTTTCAAATGGGTTTCGTGGTGCGCCATACTTCTCATAAGGTATTCGTTTATGGTTTCGGATATAATCCCAATGACAAATTCGATTATGTGTCATCCGATAGTCATTATCAAAAATTGAATGTGAACAGTTCTTGACTTTGCATTTGACTTTGTATCTTTTAACACCACGATGTGGTGTCTTGAACCAAAAATCTAAGATAATTACAAATTAAACAAAATATTTTTAAAAAAATGTATAAATGATTTAATAAATTTTAAACTTTAAAATTTTATTAGTAAATACGTAACTTACAAGTATAAACAAAGTAGATTATTTCTTCTTTTGCCAAACTTCCAATTTTGATACAAAATACAGAAACAACAAGAAAATACATCTTCCAAGATATTTTACAAATAAATTGTAATCTTACCGACAACTTTACCGTTGTCGGTAAGATTACAATTTATTTGTTTAACCGACAAAAGATTAAACTTTACTGTTTAACCGACAAAATATTAAAAATTTGAGGAGAAGGGGTGGACACCCCCCAACACTCCCTATCGGTACGGCCGATACATATCGGTATGTATGTATGTATGTATGTATGTATGTATGTATGTATGTATGTATGTATGTATGTGTGTATATGGAACTTTCTTGAATAATCAACATGTAAATGTATATTTATTTAATATAAAATTATATGTTGCATGAGTGAAGCCTTAATAAAACTATATTAACTCACAATAAACAATAGTACTAAAAATACTATTAAAACAAAGTTTTAGAATATAGTTTTAGTATATATATATATATATATATATATATATATATATATATATATATATATATATATATATATATATATATATATATATATATATATATATATATATATATATATATATATATATATAATATATATATATATATATATATATATATATATATATATATATATATATATATATATATATATATATATATATATATATATATATATATATATATATATATATATATATATATATATATATACATATATATATATATAATTAAAAATATATAAGTATATTTAAAAACGCCAAAAGGCGTACTTCGGAGCAAAAAAGTTAAAATAAGGATTTAAAAAAAACTATAATTTAATCTTATCGTATTTAATTATGAATTTTTAATTTGACTAAATTTTTTAAAATTCTTGAGTTAATTCCTAATCTAAAAGTTTTTAACAAAATGTTGAAAAAGTTTTTATGAAAAACCCAATTTTTTTCATTTATAATTTATGTTTGTTTGATTAGCATCTTCATTAAAGCTTGATATTTTTTAAACAAAATGGCGTAACCGCTAATTCTTTAAGTATTTAGCTAAGTTATCTTACGCGTAATAAAAACTTAAGTTATCGCGCGCATTATAAAAACGAATACAGAGTTTATGCTTACTTTAGTTTTTAAGGTTTCGTCAGGGTTTTTAAGGTTTTGTCAGGGTAACGTTGGAAAATTAAAGTATATTTTGTTATTAGTTACCATTGTTATTGCATTATTGTTAGTTTTACTTTGTAAAAATTAAATTAATTTTGAAAGAAAAAAAAAAAAAATAATCATAATAATATATATATATATATATTTTTTTTTCTTTGTCACAAATCTTAGATTAAAATTAAATATTAAAGGTTGTAAATAGTTACTAGACTATTGACGTCATAACCTGTATGTTTCATATAAATTTAATATTTGCGTTCAGTTTGTGTTACGTAAAATATTAATATACTTTTTTTTTTTACAGTTTCAAATTTTGCAATTGAAAATTTTATGATGTAAAATTTTATGTCTATTTGTAATAATCTTCGTTTACATTTGGTATTATAAAGATTTTTATTTTTATACTTATATTAGAGAAAAAAAATTCAACAAATGGATCATCCAATCAAGTAAGTAATTTTTATTTGGGTGCAGTTAACATTGGGTACATTTATTAGGGGGCAACTTTTTATGAGTTTTTTTATTTAATACACACAATATCGGGAAAGTTCGGACAAATATAAAAGTGTAAAAGTAGGGTATTTTATATATATAAAGATCCATATCAATAGTATATAAAGAAGCTATTACTTATAAGTTTTACTAAACTTTTGTTTGTAATTTGTCTCTCTTTGGGACAACCAAAATTATCATCATTCTAAGTACCATTCGTGAACTAATATCGTACTTATAGGTATTATATATTTAATTAAATGTACATATTTTAAAGTATTTTAAATGATTCATCTTATACATTTTGGGTGTGTTTCTTTATTTGCGTGTATTTAATTTTTTTGGAAGTGTTTAATTTTTAAGAAAGTTAGACTAAAACAAATCTCAAAACAGGTGCACGTTTTTATAAAGGAAGAAGTGAAGGTATGAATCAAGCATAAGTTGATGATATCTCCAAGGGACCTGAACCGATTCTGCTCATTGTGTGTGGTCAAAATCGACGAATCTTTAGTATGTGATCTTATCGTTATGTATTACCTCTGCAATGAGCGGTGTTGTTTAAGATGTTCACTCTTTTCAATCAGCAGAAGAGACCAATAACTCTGATGAAATTGTAAACGATGCTTTTTCAACAATGCTCTTTATGATAACTTAATGCTGTTTCCCCTTAACTTTTTAAATTTTTTTTCTGTTCTTTTTGTTGCAGGAAATTTGTTAAGCTTCTAACTTTTATTTATTACTAATTGTGTTTTCTACATTTTCTCTAAAAACTTGTGAAAAATATTAAGTTTTTCAATTTTCCAGAAAAGGGTAGTTATTCTTATTCATGATTGATTGAAGCCATACCTTATGAACTTATTTTGTTCAAACGATAAACTTTTAAAACTCTCTATTTTTTCTTGAGCCTTTGTTATATCATAAATTTTACAGTAAAAGTTTGTTTAATATAGTAAATAAACCGTTGAAATATTTTCTTGTTTTTACTTTCATGTTTTTATCTTTGAGCATTTTTTAAAAGTGAAATTAAGGTAAATCAGAGAATTATGAGCTTAAGCGAAAATAGGAATATTTTGAAAAATAATGCCTAGTCCAAAATGTTTGCAAATAAACAATTTATAGGGATCACCACTTATTATCCATTTAGATATTTGGGCACCCGAATTTTTTTCTTAAAAAAGATAGAGGTTTTTAAAAAGTAGCGAAAGTGCTCATATAATCCAGACCACTTGATAATATGAGTACTTTAAATTAACTCAAAAAAATTTCAAAAAAATAATAAAAAAAAATACCAAATTAACAATTAGAACTAATTTGTGAAATATAATGATTAGTTATTAACAAAACTTATCACTAAATAATCAAATTTTATACCAATTTTAATTAAAAAATTACTACTTTGTTTTACGCAAAAAAAAAAAAAAAAAAAAAAAAAAAAGATTGTTAACGTAAACTTTTAGGCTTAGGCCCTTTTGCTTCGTAACGTCTTGTTCATAAAAAACACAAAAGTAATTTCTTCAAACACCGACCACTGTTAGAAGTACATAGAAGCACTGTTAAAAGTGCATAGAAGCACTGTCAGATATGCATAGGAACGACAGTTAAAACTATCTGTCTCACAATTGAAAACTAATCACAATTAAAAATCAAAGTAAAAAGTCAGCAAGTTATGATTTCTTCTAAATAGTATTTTGGTAATACACCTAAAGTCATATGGTTTTGCAGAAAAGCCATAGAATTAATTAAATCTACACAAATATTTTTTTTGTAGGTACAAAAATGTTTTCATGCATGTTTATATTTTGTATAAATATATTTATATTTATACAAAGAACTGAAACGTATTTACATTTATACTGATTTAATCGTATTTTACATTTTATAAAGATTTAGTTTTGTAGCGCTAATACAAAAACCTAATTTTTATCAGTCCAACACATAACATATTCTAATACTTACAAACAGTCATTAAAATGTTTCCTAAAGTCACCCCAAAAGAACCTTACTTTTTTTGGGCCCTAGTTACAAAAAACTTATAAACTCTAAAGATTCCAAAACAAGATCGTTCCAAACACTGATAATTTAAAACTAATTTAATGCATATTGCAGTGAAATACCTTCCCAGTGGGCACGGACGTAAAAAAGACGTCTTTTAAACGTCTTATACACGCTTTGGACGTCTTTTGAAATTTCAAAAGATGTCTTCTTTAGGTCCGGTGCCCACTGGATTTGCTAGGTACTGTTAGGGACGTAAAGGTTTGTACTACTAAAATAACGAGGCTTTTAGATGCTCGTACCAAAGTGTTGTTGGTAAGAAGTGTATAAAGAATTATTAATTGTAATTAAATAACTAATAAATTTGCCACAATTTGTCACAAAAAATTAACTTTAGGGTAATAAATATAAACCGTTTTGAAACAAAAATTTAGCTTGGGCCAAAATTACCCCATGTGCCAAAGTCGCCTCATTTTAGGGTAATTCTTTATATTTTCAATTTTTTTAACTTAAACTTTTATACAATGAAATACAAATTCTTTGAATTTAAACTTTAGAAAGATATTTAGCATTGATAAAATAATAAAAGTTTTTAATATGTTTTGCTTTTATTCAAAAAGCTATTTAAACCACTGCAATTTTAGGACTTTAAACAAAGTAATTTCAATAAATGAAAAATTTGAGCATGCCATATTACACAAAATTGGTATCTTTAAATGAACCTAAAATACAAAGTTTCTAAGTATTATTTTTCAAACAAAAATGGAAAAGATGTTAAGATAATATATTTTTTTTAATTAAAATATAAATATCTTTGTTTTAACATCAAAATTTCGCGCCACAGATTTTTTCATGTGTAAAGTTAATATCTTAACTACACTAAAAGTTGAATTTTAATTAGATGAGAGCCACTATTACTGCGTATAAGTTTACGCTAATTATATTACTTCCTGTTATTACCACATAATCAAAAAATACAAAACAATTTAACTTCACTGCTCACATCTTAGAAATGTTTTGGTACGCTCATATTACCTAGATGCTCATATTAGCTGAATATACCCTAACCAGGTTTACCCAAACCCAGAAACAGCTTTTTAAAATTATCATAACTTGTAGAACATTTTTTATAATATTTTGATACTACACAATACAGATAAAAAAACTTGTGAACTTAAGCTAATTGTGATTTTTCACCCTTTTGAATTGTTATAAACAAAATAAAAGAGTGAGTTTTGGAGGTTTAAATAATGTTTTTTTAGCCAAAAAAAAAGACTAAAAAAAGAATTATTATACGTTTTTTTTTTATCGTTGTTGTGTTATTGTTGGTAATTAAGGATTTTCTTATATTAATGTTAATTAACTGGGTCTGAAAAAAATCATTTAATATAACATTATATTAGAAATTCGTCAATTAAAGGTTCAGTGAAGAAATTAAAATTTCATATTACCTTTAAACAGCCTCCATAATTTAATTCCGTTTTTAAATAACACGCTGAGTTAAGTTTTTACAAATTTAAAAAAAAAATTCTTTCCGAAATATTTATGGGAGAGGGGGATTTACTCCTATTGCCCTTTCTTTCAATGGATCCGACCGTGTACCGTTGTCTAAAGAATATGCCACATTGAATTCTTGATCAACAACAAACTACTTATTAGGTATTTTTTATTAAGTGATTCAGGGTGTATGAAGTGTTTTTGCAGTTTCAATCCTACTGTGTTGCTATTTTATTTCAGTGTTAATCCTACTGTGTCGCTATTTTATTTCAGTGTTAATCATACTGTGTCGCAATTTTAACAGACGCACTTCACCTTAAAGTTTTAGAATCAACAAAACTGAACAGAAATCATTTAGTAGCAATCAAAGTAACGATCTCATGATCCATTACTTATTTACTCCATTCTTGAAGTGGCCACTTTTTGTCACTACCATTCTTCAGGAGCGTGAGAGGTTTGAAAGTTACTTCCTTTATGGATCTAGAAAACCTGCCTATTTATTTATATAGTTAATATATAGTTTGAATACTTTAAAAGAATATAATACAAGGTATTAACTACTAAGACAAAGTCCTAAATTTAGTGCTTATTAAACAGTACTTACCAATATTTTTGTTGAAATTAACCCAGAATAAACATGTTGCAGGAGGCATGGTAAATAAAGATGTTGCAGGGAAATGAAAATTGCTTTGCGTAAGTTGTTGAACGTCAAACACAGAATAATTTATCTAAAACAAGTAAATCTAGTTTTAAAAATTTATAAAAGATTTTTCTTAAAAAGTATAAAAATGTCAGAATAACTTTATTGAAATAATATTGGATTTCAAAATCAAAATGGCTTTATCAGAATATTTCTCTGGTATAATTCTTTTTTTTATAATTGTATTGTAAAACCTTTTTTGATGAAAAAAAAGTAGACTTAAAATCAAGAATATCTCCTGGAATGCAACTTTGGAAACTTTGGAACTTTGGAAACTTTGGAAACTTTGGAACATCAACTTTGGAAACACAAGCATTTATTCATTTCATACGAAGTGTATTAGTTAAGTATTTATATTAAAAAAGTTAACATTTTGTGTGCTTATTAGTTGATAATAATAAAGAACTGTTAATAATATGCAAACCCATGTGCTTAGTCTTTTTGTGTTTAACAAATAAAAACTTAGTTCGTAAAGCAATTTCAGGAGAAAAAAGCTATAAAAGTTTAGATGAAAAAGCAAAGTAAGAGATTTTTGACCAGCTCATAAATAGTAGAATATGTAGAAACATAATGAAAAAAAAAAGAATGTGGCCTATTTGAAAGCTACAAAATAAATTTGATGGAAAGCCAAAATTAAGCTGAAAAAAGATGCAAGCCCTATAAGAAGTGAAGCCACCACAAGCAGCTTGTCAATGAGCTAAATTAGTTTAACAAAATTATGTTAGAATGAACCAGAACAAAGATTCCCTTGATGTGTCAGTAGGTTTTTATTAGATATTAATGTTTCTTCGAAAAGATACGTTTAATGGTACTATTTTGGTCCTTTTGCTGTACATTAAAATTTTTTTGTTTCAAATTAAGAAAAGAGGCAAGTAACAATTTTTATGGTGCCTTGAAACTTAGTAACTTTAGTTCTCTTCCAACACAATATGGTTCTACATGCTTTTTTATAAAACTTAAATTAATTACTTATTGTTTTCTTTTTTTTTCTCTTCCGTTATTTATGGTTTATAATCAATTCTGGAATTGCGTGAAATTTCTCCCGGTGTTTTTCAAAATTTTTAAAGTTATGACTAAATGCATTTTTAAAGCAGAAGAAAACCCAGAAAACTAGTCACGGGAGCTAGGTAGGTTTAATAAGTTAACTCTATCTATTGGCAGAGTTAAACTGGCACTGAGGGGCTCAGGGTGGGGAAAGGAAGACATAGATAAGGCTTTTATGGTAGCAAAAAACTTAGCAAAAATAAGTTAAACCCCTAAAAACCCTAAAATCTGATGCATATTAACAATAATAAACTATTATTAATTGTGTGTTTTATTATGTTAATTATTTGTGTATTTTGATTTATAGAGAGACCCAAGACCTTCAGACATAGCAGGGCCCCGTGGGGAAAATACCTCCCAACCTCCCTCGCCAGGCTGATCCTGTGTATTAGCTTTTTAATTAAGTTGATTTTAATACCGGTTTTGAAGAATTATTAAAATATGACTTAAATTTTACGTAAAATTACGTAAATTTTTATATATGATTTAAATTATGTAGATTTTTAAATAAAAATTTTAAATGGTAAAAATTTAAATTAAATTGTGAATTTTTAGCACCCAAAACAATTTAATGGGAGGAAGGGAGGTATGTGAAGTTATGGCAAATCAATAACTATCGTAATAAATTTTCTTAGAAGAAATCACTTTTATACTTTCGCATAAGTAATAGTAGCTTGGTAATTAGATGCGATGTTTTCTGAGCGGTAACTTATTGTCACTAAAGGTTGAGACTCCCGATTGGATAAGAAAATATTTGTTATGTTTTTAATTTTTGATTTAAAAAAAATAAAATAACATAAAAACAAAAATTCAAAATAAAACAGTTTAAGCAAAAATACTTTTTTGCAATTGAATTATACATATTGTTTTTTACATTTGCTTATTACAGATCCATTAATAATAAATACTACTTAATTGTAACTTATTTAAATGTTATTTTTATACTTGTGTTTTTTTGTTTATTTTTTCGAGAAAGAAATATGTGATTTTCAAATAATTCTTTTTAAAATTACTATGCTATGCTGCTAATCAATATAGCTGCGTTTATTTAGAGCACCCGCCTAAAAAGTGTTAAGTCATTGCAATTTTTATAAAAAGTTTATAAAATGGTGTGTTTTCCAACATGGTATATATCTTCTGTAGCTCAGTTATTTAGTGCTTTGCTCCTAGTGTCTTCTTTCTAACCTGTCCTAATGTGAACGGAAACGTTAAGTTTCAACTTTAAACTTAGTCCGCCTTTAAGCAAAAAAACCTTTTAGTTTTTTTTAATCATGCTGCTTTTTAAATACAAAAAGCAAACATTAAAACGACACACTCAAAACTCGGTAAATGACAAAGGTTTTTGTTTTACTGATGAAAAGTCAATTTTCATTGGTTAAATAATTCAACTAGACTTGGCCTTTGTTTTTAAGATTCACATCTTTGGCGGTCGTTCATAAATTACGCAACACTAAATTTATTTAAAAGGTAGGAGATGTTGAGTTTTTTTACGCGGAGATTTTCAGTAAACTTAAGGAACCAATTTCCGCTTTTTCGATTTTTCATTTAACTTAAGGCACTGTGATGGAAAACTTTTGATCTTTTTTGTTAAGTTTATTAGGGAAATTTAGCGTTGCGTTATTTAAGGACGATCCCTTAAGAAATCACACAGAAAAATGGCTGATAAATAAATAATAAAAGAATTTAGGGTGCGTTGTTTTAATATTCGTCCATATTTTACCGATTGTTCCATTTACGACTCACAAACTTAGCTTAATATACTGACGTGTATGCTAACAGATATTTGTATATAACAATATACAAACGGAATATTTATATTAAATGTAAATGACATATTTTATCAATTTACATAAGTTACATATTTTCATATTTACATAAATTTCTTAAACTTCCGTATAAAAAAGTGCCGACGGACTCTTTCTCGCCATTAAATCGGGTTTAATCGCTGCCGTGAGTTCTGTGCCAACACACACAAATGAGAATTAATATCAAGTTGCCTAATATGTAATATATGATATATGTGAAAAACATGTATATATTTATATATATATATAAATATTTAGATTGTACGTTTGGGCATCATTTTTTACAATCATCAACTCATCTATAATGAGGTTACCGTGCCTATCATATGCAAATTTTAATTTGATACCGAACTATTACTATATTGGAGATATTGAGTCAACATATATTGCAAGCAGTATTTTTGATTGTGGCACCTACTGTGTTAGAAGCCCATCTTGTGTATTTGCCAACTATAATAAAGTTCAACACACTTGCGAGTTGATGTCATCTTTAGCGAACTCTTCAAATAGTTCAACCAATCAAGAATGGCAAGTATTGACAACTGATTTAATAAATAGTACAAATGTGAGAATATATATGTATATATATATATATATATATATATATATATATATATATATATATATATATATATATATATATATATATATATATATATATATATATAATTGCTTTTTTTTCAATTGTTTAACTCAGGTACTTGCACTTAAAAGATAACTAATATAGCTAATTTAAACAATGGAATACAATAGAAAGTATTCCGAATACACTTAAAATATGTTAAGTCGTATGCAGGGGTGATTCTACGAATAAAATGGGGGGCGACTACTTAAAAATTACAAACCGTTTTGAAAAATAAAAAAAAATAAAAGGTCTTTATTCTAAAATGATCAACCGTTTCCTCTAAATTCCTCAAAAAACCAACTATAACTTAAAAGTTGCCTTCTATAGGGTTAACAACTCCGTAGAATCGCCCCTGGTCTTAAATACGTAGATAAAAAAATAGCATTAAAGTTAAATTATTTTTGATACTGTTTTAAAAAGGCTTATGTTTTCTTTTTCTTTTATACCATGAGGGGTACAATTCCAATCTTTTGTAACTCTGCTTGTAAAAAAATGGTAACAAATTTTAGAATCGGTAAACTGTCTGCGCATTTTACAATTGTTAGTTCTGCTAGATCGTTCCTGCTTAAAAACTACATCTTTTCCTTTTGAAATATTTTGAAAGAGATGATCTGGATCATCTCTTTATCTAAATAGCTTTGCACCAATTCAAAAAAAAAATGACACGAATTCTAGTTTAAAAAATTTCTTCAATAATAATTGTGAAAGACTGAATCAAATCCTTTGCAAAGTCTAAGAATAAAATATTACTTTAAAAATATTTCCATATTCTTGCTTGGTCACTTTAAATGTTTTTAACAAGTTTGTTATACAACGTTTGCTATTACAAACCATGTTACTTTTTAGAAACTACATTTTTTCCGATGAGATACACAATAATTGTTTATGGGGCTAATTATTATCTCTAATAATTTGCTCCATATACGCAATATTCTAAACTTCATTTTGAGGAGGAACAATAACTTTAACTTACAAATTTGTTGTTTTAAATATTCATTCTTTTTAGTTATATCAGCTACTTTCGTTTTTTAATGATTGAATCGCTTCATTCAATTCCGCTACAGCATTTTACAGATTTTTGATCCGTATTCATTTCTCAGTTTCCTCATCAGAACATCTAAAGCGTCAGTAAACTCTTTTGTATGAGCCATAATTACGAATATTTTTACCAGATAATTGATTATTAAGGCTGTTATACTTTTTTAAACCTTTCTATTATTACAGCTGTGGATTAAAAAAAAAAATTATATATAGATGTTTTAATTAAAACTATTAAATCAGATTTTATGATTAACAAGCAATATGTAATCAAAATTTAAAACCAAGTAACATTCTTTTTTAAAAAATTTATTATGTCTTAATTTATAATATAATAAAAGATATTATAAATCAAGACATAATAAATTTTTAGAAATGCTATTAAACTTTATCAGTTGTTGTCTTGGTAATATAAAAATAGTAATACTACTAATATAAATGAACATTGGTGTTCATTGACACTGTTACATTGAAATAAAATTTTATTCATTATAATAGTTAGTTGTAACAAACATTAATTATATTTGCAGATTGGACCCGTTTGTGAAAACAACACACCTTGTGACAATCTTTATTGTAGGGATGTATGCACATCAGATACTTTAGCCCACGCATACCTTTGTTTAGGTATTTTTCATTTGTTTTATAGCTTATTAAGTAATAGCTGCATAAAATTATCAGTTTTTAATTATTGTTGAAAAATATTAAATAGTATTTACAACCGTTGATTTAGCAATTGTAAAAATTTGTTATCTTTGTTTATTAAAATTAATAATTAATATTAAATGACTTTTATTTAGCTTCTCTTTAAAATTAAACATAAATTTACGCACACTTGTGTGCATGCATTTATGTTTAGTTTTAAAAAGAAGCTAAAAAAATTTATTTTTATTTTATTTTGTTATTTAAAATACACTTTTTAACATTACGTTGCACGCGGTAATTAGGAACAAGCGCTAAAACATTTTGTCATTCCAAACGCTTAAAAAATAAAATATTTTACTTTGATCTTTGAACTGCTGTGCATCATTATTTGTATTAACGGAAAACATTACCTGTACATAAAATAGAATCAACAACTAAACTGACCAGATAACTTCAAAAGACTATCTTGGAGCAATCATTCGAAATGACCTTAGAAGTAAACACCACTGTAAACAAAGACAAAAAAAACTTTTTAAAAGCAAGCTACGCAGCACATAACTGGGGTCTAGATTTTTTTATGCATCCATTAATACAAACCCATTTGTTTCAATATTTTTTTAAATTAGTTTTACATTATGATACCAACATATGTAATCTTAAAAAGAATGAAATTCAAAAATTTTAAAAATTTGTATCAAAAATGAAGAAAAAGACAGTAAGAATGAAGAAAGGAACAGTTAAAATAGAGAAAGAGGCAGTAAGAATGGGACAATAGGAATTTTTATAGGATTTAACACTAATCGCCAAACTTTTTTTAAATCGTTTTCTATCTATGTTGCCTGTACTAAATTTTGGATTTTATCTTAGATGTTAGGTCCTAGAGACTTTTGGAAAATCTTAAACAGTGTCATTAAAAAAAGTCTATAAAAAAAGTCTATTAGTTGATATATGGTTCCTAGATTTTGCAATAGTCGATAAGGTGCCCCACTATCGACTTATACATAAAATTTACAACTATGGAATTAAAGGCAATATTTTAAGTTGGATTGATTCTTTTTTAAAAAACAGAAAACAAAGAGTGGTAATGGGTGAAGTTGTATCAGATTGGTGCGAGGTTTATTCAAAATGACATTGATTTGTTAACTGAATGGTTAAATGTATGGTTAATGAACTTAAACATAAATAAATGTAGTTTTCTGCACAATAGAAGAAAAAATATTAACTATAGCTACACTATAAAGCACGACAATTAAAGTTTTCTTTTAAAAAAAACAACAAAAAAACTAGACTTGGGTGTAATAGTTTCATCCAATATGAAATGGAATCATCAGGTTCAAGTAGCTACAAGTAAAGCACAAAGAATCTTATGTTTAATAAGAAAAAGCTTTACTTATCTTAACACTGAAATGGTAAGACAACTATACACATTGCTGGTTAGACCACACTTGGAATTCGCAGCTCTAGTGTGGAGTCCAAGTAATAAAAACAATATCAATGACCTAGAAAAAATTCAAAGACGAGCAACAAAGCTAGCCCCTGAACTAAAACATCTAAGTTATACCGAAAGATTGACAAAGTTGGGCCTCACAACTCTGGAAATAAGACGTATAAGAGGAGATCTCATTGCTTTCTTCAAATTAACAACTGGGATTGATAAGATATTGTGGTATAAAGAACCTTATAAAGCTTCTTCCCAGAGACTTCAAGGTCATTCAATGAAATTTGTAAGAGAATTTGCAAAAACAACACCGAAACATAATTTTTTTACGAACAGAGTGATACCTCATTGGAATGCTTTACCTGAAAAAGTGGTTTTTGCAATGTCAGTAAGTTCTTTTAAAGCTAGACTAGATAAACATTTGTTAACGACTGTTAAAGTTTAAATTTTAAACTTTTTGCTCCGTGACAATCGTCGTTACAGCAGTTTGTATTACTATTACTACTATTACTATAAGTTCATATTTAATACATAAATCTGATGGAAAGAATTATTTGCAACTTTTTATCGAATTAAACTCTTGAATTAAATGACTGGCTCTTTTTGTCATTTCAAAAAAAAAAACAGTGTAATTCACTCTTGACATATCAATAACTTAATAATTCACTCTTGACATATCAATAATTTCTCATTTAAACTTATCTACTGCTTGTGATCCTGACAATATTACTGTCATATTACTACAAAAATGTATTCTAAAACTCAGTGTTAAAAATCGCATCTTTTATTCCGATTTTCTAAACACTGTTGAACATTCTGACTCTTCCATATATAATCTGATCAGTCTTCTCCCTATCATTAGCGAGGTGTTTGAGCTTTTTTTAAAAAAAATTGATCTTCTTGTTCTTCCATTAACTTTGTAACTGCTACAACTGAAGAATTCTATTGAACATTGTACATTTTTTTTCTTTACTTAATTAGAACTTCTCTATTACAAAATTATAATCACAATTTATACCAAGACATATACCTCCAAATATTACTATTACCACCCACTTAAACATATTTGCAATTTCACATATAAACCATATAAAAACATTAGCTATTACATACAGAACCGTACAAACATATTAATGTCACGGAACACTCTAACATTTAACTTAATATTATTACACTCACTCCTGCACTCGTTTCCCTGCATCTTCAAGCACTGTAACATTTAACTTAATATAATTAGAGGATTTGATAAATTTAACATGCTTATCTTCTCCATAAGTTTGCTTCATATAGTGTATCTAAGAGTGTTTGTGAGATTACTATATCATTTTTTTTTAACCACAGTAATTAAGCGATCCCCGAAGGCCAACATATTTCCTTATTTTCAGAAACTTTATGGGTACATCAAGGTTTTACTCTTGATCCTGTATTGATTTTTATTTACATTAATGATCTTTATGACTATGTTACTTCCGAGGTGGCTTTTTTTACTAAAAACACAACTTTTTGTTGAAGTGGGTTATTTGAGTAATAACTACATATCAACTACAACTCTTTAAATCTTCTGTTAATCATTTCCATATTCTTTTTTCTAATCACTATTTTATATATATATATATATATATATATATATATATATATATATATATATATATATATATATATATATAAATATACATATATATATATATATATATATATATATATATATATATATATATATATATATATATATACCGTAACACGGGGTTACTTTGTGCCTTAAGTTCCTACTTTGTTCCACCACTGAAAATTTAAGTTTCATGCTTCTCCTGTTCAAACGTCCTAAAAGTGGCGCGTTCTTTGCTATTTTTTAATTTATATGTGGCAAATACTGTCAAGAAACCATATTGCCTTTGCCGCACACTAAATAATACATCTGTTAATTGGATGTCAAAAAGTAACTGAACTTGTTTGTAAAATTTACTGTGCAGAACTTCTACGTGGTTTGCTTTTGTAGTACACACTACAGAAAAAAAAATCACTGAGTTTGTTAGACTAACACTTTGGTAAAAAGATTTGAGTATTTTTTTTACTGTTTTTTTATTCAGTTTTGAGAAAAAAATAACTTATCTTATTTGAGTGAGTTTTTATTTAAAAATGGGGTTACTTTAGGCCGGACTTAAAGTAACACCACATCATAAATAAAATCCAATCATTTTATTTACATTAAATGGACATATCGTATGGTTTATTTCTTAATTTTATTTATTATTGCTATTGTTATTATTATTATTATTATCATTGTTATTATAACAAATATGATAAATTAAAGTTATTAATAGATATATTATTATTATTATTATGAAATTATATATAAAATATTTATATATTATTGATTTTATTTTTTGTTTCTTTAGTTGTTGTTTGTCTGTTGTTATTTTTATATTGTTTATTATATTAATTAGTCTTGTACTACTTGTCCCCTCACAAAAGTCTCTTTTCATAGTCTCTTCAAAAAGGTTTCTTTGCATTTCTTCTTTATAAAAGTAGTCTCTTCACAAAAGTCTCTTTCATAGTCTCTTCAAAAAGGTTTCTTTGCATTTCTTCTTTATAAAAGTATTGTATTAATTTTACTATGTTGTAAACTATTTTCTTTTAATAGTAAAATGTTGATTGATTTATATTCTAGCTAATAAAAATGCCAAGAATGTATACTAGAAGACCAGGCTCCAGAAAATATGTGGACTATTCTCCAAAAAAGCTCCAACAGTGCCTTTCTGCTATTAATGAAGGTCGAATGAGCCAGAGAGAAGCATCAAAACATTTTGAAATATGTAGAAATACCATACAAAACAAACTGAAGCTAAAGCACAATCAAAACCCAGGGCATCCTACAATATTTACTGCTTCGGAAGAATCAGCTTTTGTTGCTCACATCGTGGCAGTGTCTGAGTTTGGATTCCCTTTGGATGAATTGGATTTTAGGTTTATTGTAAAGGATTACCTCACTTCGCAAAATAAAACTATTCCACAGTTTAGAAATAATTTTCCAGGACTAGAATGGAGTAAAATATTTTTAAAAAGACATCCTATGCTTACTTTGCGCTTGGCAGCCAATATAAAACGCTATCGGGCTGCAATTAATGAAAAAACCTTAAGTGAGTATATTGAAAACCTCGCCCAAGTTGTTACAAATGTGCCAGCAGAAAATATATACAACTACGATGAAACAAACCTAAGTGATGACCCAGGACGCAAAAAAATTATATGTCGTAGAGGCTGTAAATACCCTGAAAAAGTAATAAACTCATCAAAGTCCAATATTTCAGTCATGTTTTGTGGCAATGCTGCTGGAGGTACAATACCACCTTATGTTGTCTACAAATCAGAACATCTGTGGTCCACATGGACTGAAAACGGTCCCCATGGAACTAGGTACAATCGCACAAAACATGGATGGTTAGATAATGCTACATTCGAGGAGTGGTTTACTGCTCACCTGCTTCCTATACTGAAAAAACAGACCGGAAAAAAGTTCTTATTGGGGATAATTTGTCATCGCACA